CAGTTCTGCCAGCCAGTGCAGGGCAACCTTGTCTGGGACTTGCTGTTTCTGGGCTCTAGTGCCATTGCTGTCCTCTGGCTTCTGGAGAGCTGGGGGTGAGGAGCAGGGTTTTGCATGGACAGAGTCTTATGCTTGTGGGTATTTACCATTGCAGGGTAAGACACAGACCTATATGTAGGTTTAGTGGCTGAAACCTCTAATTTTCTCTGGTTGGCTTTGTTTACTCAGCAGAAGACCTTAAAGCAGCTTTCCTGCTGCTGCAGGGATCTCAGACTGGTGATGCCACAGGCAGGGTGCAAGCAGGGAACACTGGGGCTCTTGCACAAAGATGTCTTGAGTAATCTTCCCTCTTGTCCAAAAGAGACAGTGCTGCGCACTCCCTCTTCCTGCATGCGTGATGCACTCTAATGGCAAGCGCTAGGCTGCCCCTTTAACATCTCTAACCTCCTACACAAAGTGAGCAACTCCCAGGATGGGTGCAGTGGGTTTGGAGAGGCTTCTGTGGTTTTATGAGAATGCTGTACATGGGAGGTTGCTTTTTCTTTTCTCTGTACTGGTGACATGTCATCTTTACTTCAGTGGCTGGTTTCTTGATAACATGCTTTAAAATAGAGATGTAGACAAATTGGCAAAAGGCCAGAGGAGAGCAGCACTAATTGTCAGAGCTTTAGAAAACATGACCTCTGAGGAGAGGTTGAAGAAGTCAGGTGCATTTAATCTAGGCAAGACAGTATTGGTGGGGCAGGGACAAGGGTGTAATGGTTTCTCAGTACATAAAAGCTGTTGTTAAGGAAGGATGATTTATTCTTTCACTATCATTGGGGGGGAAACAATGAGACAAAACTACATTTACACTGCAGAGAATGTTTAGTTTGAATATTTAGAAAAAGCCTTCAGTGCAGTGAAATGCAGGAAGAGACTGTCCAGGGGAGCCGTGGAACTTCTAACACTGGTGGTTTAAAGAAACTCTGGTCTGCTTCCATGAAAGATATGGGCTGTGGAACCTCTCAAGATCCCTGTTAGTGCCTTTGTTCCTGTAGTTTAGGCTAAAGGGTAGGTTTGAGGCTGATGCCTGTCCCTTAGCAACCGCAAGCCTTGGCTCTGCCAGCATTGTCAAGTTCACGTGGTCAGAAACGCATGAACCAGACTCCTCAAAGCATTGGCTGTAGTTCATAAAAATGGTGTGGCTTCAGTGGATGATAATATTACGTAAGCTCTGTTTATCTGCCTACTGTTTTTGAGTCTCTTTGGCTGTGTCTGTATTGCAGTTGGAGATCTGATAGCAGAGAAACCCAGGCTTGCTCTAGTCCAACTTTCTTGGGTAGGAGTGAAGAGAGGGCAGCTTGGACCTTAGTACAGGGCAGTTGCCCAAGTAAGCATCCACTGTCTGAAGACCTATTACACTGAATTTTGTGCTATTGTCTTCCCTGCTCTCTGCAACTGAGGTGCTAGGCTGAGATCTGGAAGAGATGTCCTGATCCAGGCTACCATCACCTCTGGCTTGTAGTGCAGGCAGACACAGGCTTGGAAACATGACCTTTCCTCTGCAGTTGTGCCACAGGAATTACTTCTGTAGCAACATGACTCTAGGTTCTGGGGCTTTTAAGCATTATAAAATAAAATGTGAAAGTAATAACTGGTTGCTGGGAAAATATTGCAATTAGCACAACTTGTTCTCTACCTTGACTGTTTTTATATTTGACAAGTATCACTTGCAGAAAAAGGACAGGTTTTATTATAACTCTTTTGTCTGCTTCCCTTCCAACTTCCTGAGTACATTTTTCACAGGCACCAAACTACTTTCAGGACAAAATGTTGGTGATTTCTCCAGTGCTGGTGAGAAACAGGGACGTGTGAGAGTGCCATTCACTGGTGAAAGTGGCAGAATTTCTCACACTCCCTCACTCGTGATCTTACTTACAAACCTTTTCTAGGCATAAGCTTTTTCTTTAAGGGGAGAAGGTTTGGTTTTTTGCACCCATTGGCAAGGCACAGGTAAACATGTGGACTTTTAATATCAGGTTTTCTTCTTTTGCCTTGTCTCAGATCCACAAATGCAGAGTTCTGCCTTTTTGGACAAATTTACAGATGACGTTATCCCATATTTTAAATACCCTACTTTTGTATCCCTCTTGCCTGAAGCTATTAACATTGGCAGAATTGATGTCCTTTGTTTATTTTGTGTACTACTTACAGCCTGAATGTTGGACACCAGCCGGTCTAGTTTTTTGTTTGGCTGCAGTAAGAGGTAGGGCATGCTTTTCCTGTCAGCTGTGTACATGCTCTTGCATCCCTGTCCTGAGGAGACTGTGAGCCAGTCTTCACAACAGGGATGGAGAAGGTGAAATGGCTTCCCTGTGATCAAGCTAAGAGTAGGTCCGGTAAAGGCAGGACTTTGCATACTTTCGTCTTTGGAGTGTTTGTATGACAGTCATGTGCTTCTGCCTGTGGGTTGATGGGCACACACCCCAGGGGTTGCAAGTGGGCAGTGGAGCCTCCCACTTGCCATGATAGATGGGGTGTAGAGGTCTTGGCAAGTGCTCAGAGTGGTCAAGAGAAACATTGCTGAGTGCACATGGGAGCTGGGTGCAGCTGAGCCCAGGCTGATGGGGAGTAGTGTGGCTGATCACTCCAGCCCTGGTCTTGGATCTGGGAGTCGGGAGGTCTGGATCTTATCCACGGCTCTGACACTGAGTCAATGCATGACCTTAGGCGCTCAGATACCATGGTGATGAACACAGCATAAATGTCTAGACAGATAGATTAGATTGGATAGACCCTGTATTTGACAAATATTTGTATATCACCACTGTCAGTGCTCCCCTGCTATAACCACCCAGCCTGGTGATTTCAGTGGGTCTTCTACACAGCAGTGGGGGGAAGAACCACTTGTTGCACTGAGGCAGGAGGGGACACATAACCACAGTGACACAAGTACTGGTGGTGACAGACTGGAAGCCAAGCAGGCAGTAGGGCAACTCTTGGAGGAAACAACACTGCCTGGCAGAAAGGCTCAGGAGTTGGGAGATGGCTTCTCCCCAACCCTGCTGCAGCCCTGCGCATGGCCCTATCTTTCCTTCTGTAACCAATTAGTCTGCAAGATCCTCAGGGCAGTGGTGACTTCCTCCTGCTGTGGCTTCTATTATAAGGCGCTGATTTCAGAAAAAAAGACAAACTACCAAAGTGAGACTTCCTTAAAAGCTTTCCTGTGCCACTGTCGGCCTCTGGCACAAGGGAGGATGCAGGAGAATCAACTCTCCCCAGAATGATTCTTGGTTATTTTCCCACCTGGTTCCCTTGTGAAAGATGCATGTAGCAGTACAGCAAAGATGTAGCTAGGAGTGTGCCCATGTAGGGATTTTCAGAGGCTCTGCAAGGTCTCCTGAACACCCCTGCCTCCAGCACCCCTGACAGTGAGCCAGGAGTGCTGGAGAAGAGCACTGCCTCTTTAAGGAGATTTACATAGCAGGGCCTAATTACAGTTGTTGATTCTGATGTTTTCAGTATTGTTCATATTCCATTAAAGGATAATGCTGCTTAATTTGCAGCAGAGGGTCTCGGTTAACAGTACACCCAATCACAAGGCAGCCCTAATGACACTACTTCCCTACTTCTGGTAACACATAATTAAAAAATCACTTCATTTCCAGTTGTGTGGTTATCCCCTCTCCCCCAATTGCCTAATTACTTTCTAAGCCATTTCATGATTATCTGTAAATATTTCAGCACTTAGATCTACTAACGAGTCCATGGAAGAGTTAACAACTTGAGTGGCATAACTGCTTACCATTCCCTTGCAATGCAGTACTAGAAAGGAATCATTTTCCACCTTGCATGTGAGAGAAGAGGGGCTTTGCTTGTGGTGGGATTGAGTTTTTGCTCTGGCTTTGGGGATGACAGGAGAGGGGTAGCATTCAGAACCTCCATCTTAAGCTACAGGAGGTTTTTTGCTGGTTTTGGTAGTGGATGTGTATCTCTGCAAACTGCTTTGTGGCTTAAACCCCACTGAAAGGGCTGTCCTGTTGCCTGGCTGTGGGAGCTGCTAGTCAGAGGGGCTTAGGCAGAGCTGGGTATGAATCTGGATCTAGCTGGGATGCCCACACATCTGGAAGATTTGGCTGAAATGGCTGGTTTCTGCCCTTACTCTACAGGTTTGTGGGAAGTAGTAATACAGCTCTTGCTGCGCTTGGGCAAGAGAGGGCAATAGGTCTGGCTGTGGCTGCCCTTGTGTGGTGTTTCTTCATAAGCTCATCTTGCATGCCGCAGTCAGTGGCACTTACTGCAGCATGAGGGTAGCTTGGTCACTGGGTAAGGGAATATCTGAATTTCCCAGCAAACCTGTGCACAGATGTCTACCACAGCTCTGTGGCTGCAGGCAAGAGGATGTGGAGTGATGTGTGCCCTGATGCCCATGGTAAAACGGAGGATCTGTTCTCTAATCCAAGCGCTGCTCTGCTCTGAAAAGCCACTATACAAATACTGCTTTCTCACTTCATGGATCTGGTCCCTCTACTTGTCTGGTATCTTGGGTATTAAAATTCACTTGGGGTTTTCAGACTGAGCATTCAGAGCTGACAGAGTGATGGAGGAGTGAGCTGGAATATCTTTCCTGCCCATGTGTTACATGGGCTTGATTGCTATGTTCTTTGTATGGTCAATCAGTAACACCTTATGCAAGCCCACTGGGAGCCTACTGATGGTCTCTGAAGGCATTATTTGGAATAACCAGAGATAATTGTATAACGAGGGGGTAATTAACTTCCAGGAATTAAAGAATCAAGCTTAGGCTGCACTACTCCTAGGGGTGAGTCTGTAAGGCTGGCAGTTAGAGAAATCTAGTCTTCTTTAATCATTTGAGCACATGTGACTTCGAAATCCTTGATACTTGGGGAATATGAGGCTGCTTCAAATCATATCCATGCATTTCTAGGTGATTCTTTAATAGCAGATAAGGGAGGAGGGCTTGAATGTGGTCCTAACCCAGTCCATTTGTGTTTCAGGTAACCCTGTCACAGTGGGAATGAGCATCCATATCTCCAGCATTGACCAGATCTCTGAAGTCAACATGGTAAGTTTGGAAAGGAAAAAAAAAAGCCTAATAAACTGTTCTTCCATCTTCTGGTTGAGATGTGCTTCCAAGACAAGGGCTTCTTGGAGCCACCTGAGATCTCAGGGTGCACTTCTGAAAAGCAGGGTAGTCACATCGCTGCTTCCTTCACCTTCTACTACAGATCTTCCTTGCAGCTGGGAAGTTGTTGGAGGAAGAGTGACATTTGTCTGGTACTGAAAAAGTATTTTTTTTTTTTCTGCTTTGGACACAGAATTTTGAGGGGTGATGGGAACTCTGATTTAAGACAGAATTCTTCCTCACTAAAGCATAAGGAATTCAAAGGTGATTTCTCCACGTGTAGTGTGATGAAAAAGAAAATCAAACACTTAACTGGGCAATAAGAAATGAGTTGGTTTTTTTCCAGATGTCTTTTCTCAGCATACTGGTTTCAGTCCAAGCCTTACTCCTTCCACCCATTGAGTGGCCTGTGTCACTGGGACTGCCTGTTAGTTGTCTCCACAGCCTCAGCCCAGCCCTAGGCTGAAACAATACTGAACTCACTGAACTGGCATGTGGGATCTCTGTGGTGTACACCTACCCCTGCTGGTGGTACTTGTGATGTAGTTGGACATGCTGAAAGACTTCAGTGAAGTAGTTCACTTCCTAATGTGGGGTAAATTCTAGTAGGGTTAGTGTCTATACTGGCACACTGAAGTTTCCATGGTGTTATGTGTGAACATGTGGACGGAGGATCTCTGCTGGCGTCTCTGGAGCTGGTGGCATCTTATCCAGAGCAGATCCTCATCCCTTATCCTTCTGTGCTGGTTGCACAGCCACCTCTCCAAGCCATTAACGCTTATGCCTTAAAAGAGTAGATGCAAGTTGTATTTTTCGGTTGACACAAAGGCAGTGGTGGCTTTACAGTCAGCCTGTGCCTGCCAAGTTGAAAAGCAGTGGGTTTTCATGCTTGCTGGTGGTAATTTGGCATTTCTTTGGAGAACTGTACTGGAAAGGGAGGCATCTAATAGAGGTCTGTTTTTGGGTGGCATTCATAGACTGGAGCTTTTCATACCACTGAGAAGAAAAAATTTATCTGCTCAGATAGCAATGGTTTGGGGTGAAATTTGTTAATTATTTTGGTCATGGTTTGGGTACACATCCAGGCCTGTGCTATCTCTCTCTCAGAAGCCCTTAGCACCCAGCAGAGGACATGGATTGTGCTGATCATTGCCTAACCTTGCCTTCCTCCCTCCTGCCCAGAGGCTTTTCCTCCAAACTCCTCTCCTTTCCAAGAGGCTGAGTGGAGTGGAAGGCTGGTGGGGACCTCCTGGCAGCAGCTGTCCTATTCCTCAGTTCCTGACCCATGCAGAAGAATCCTAGGCCAGTTTAGAGCTCTTGCTGTTCAAGTCAATTAAAACCTTGGTCTCCCAATGCTCCTGTCCTATTTATCTGCTTCTGGACTCTCCTGCCCTGTTTCTGTGGCCCACCAGCTATTCTGCTGTTGCATGGTGGGAGGAGGGGAAGTGAGACAATCTGACTAGTCGCTTTGGTTTCTAAACTGCTTGAAAATCCTGAATGCATATGTTGATATGACCCAGGATGAAGGGCCAACCATGAACCTTCAGGTTCTCATATGGAACAGTTTCTCTTGCAGACTTTCTGTTATCATCCCACCATTACCGTAATTATCTGCATGGCATGTTACACCTCAGTCTAGTAACATTGACACTGGACAGTGCGTACAATCAGAAATTCAGGTACAGACATATGTCCCCATTGCACTGGGTAGCTGTGCTTGAGGTTAGGCTCAACTTAGAAGAGCCAGATGGCTTAACCTACCTCGATCTATCTTGCCTGTCAGGGCAGAGCTCAACTTTGAGTCATCTCCTTTTCCGATCTCAACTTAGATCTGAATTTTCCTATGTGGTGAACCAGCTGTCACTCTCCTTGCTAGAGCCAGCATGAAAAATCTGGGGTCTGGGCCTGTAGCTTAAGACCCAGCTTGCACACACATAACTGGGAGGGAGTGAGGGTTTTGGTTCTCAGCTGACCTGTAACAACTGCCCTGATTTTCCTCTGTAGACTTGAGAAGGTAGCTGAGCACTGCAGAGGCTGGTTCAGGATGAATCTTCTGATGGAGATGTGTCCATGGACTGTAAAGGCTGATCAAGTGCTTTGTCATACACTTGCTGTGAGCAGCTGTGGCCAGGCATGCTGTGTCCTAGGCTAGTAGCCATTCTCCTAGCAACACTTTTCAACCCTTGCCATGTGAATGTGATGCTCTCCCCTCTCCGGTGAACACCTGTTTCCCTCTGCTGCAGGATGGCTGGGGCAAATGTGTATGCTCGGGGCTGGGGAGAAACAGCAACAATAATATCTCTGTGGGGTGCATGGGAGAGCAGGTTTCCTGGCATGGACCTTCGTCCACATGCTGGTGTGGATCTTGCAGAAATTGGGCAGCACTATTGATGGACATTGAGTGTTTTGATGGTTGTGGTATGGCTGTAATCAGGCTGGGCACCAGGCACTGTCCATGCCATGCTCCTGTTTATATTGCAAAGGCATGTCACTTCTGGGCTTTTGATTATCCCTCCTGGCCCTGTTTGATGTGACAAGCATAATCTCCTGCCCATCCTTCCTACATATGTGGGGGTGGGGGAATAGGGACAAAGTGGCTATATGTGAGAACCTACTCAAGATCAAGATCTATAAGCACCACAGTGAAGCAGCTGCAAAAAGGGCTTAAAAAATCAGAACCATCTTAAAGAACAAACATTTAGGGAGCAGAAGAGTTCTCATGTGGTGTAAGTTTCCAGACTGAAGGGATTTTACGTGCATCATTCTTCTGTGTAACAGATGCCCCGGGGAAAGGGCTGTGTCTTACCCCTGCTCTGGACATAGATACTGGTAAGAAAAGCAAGGCATTTTTTGGCATCATGTGTGATTGGGAAAGGGACTGTGCAATGAATAAAAGGCACACAAGTGAAGCTGGGTTGTCATGGTAACCAGATAGCTTCTATTGTTCCACAAGGAGTGTTATTACTTACCGCCCCTTGTAGGATAATTAATCCTCAGACATCCTTTTGGGAACAGTGGCCCTGGTGCTGGGGCTGGGCAGGTTGAGGGAGCCCCCAGCTCTCCCATGCCTTTCCCTGGGACTCTTGGCATCTGCTGGCTGTGTGATGGTGGGGAACAAGTTCTGTCAGTGACTAGCCATTGCATGATTCAAAAAGTTGTTTTCCACAGGAGTCCAGCTGGATGCAGTGCTGTGGAGGAATACAGCTCCACCCACGATCTAAGGAGCACTCCTTTCCTTCACTCCCCTGGGAGTTGTATTCTCAAAATGATGTGGTGACATTTCAGTCCTGGAGGACACAGGGCTCTCTGCAAAGGCAACACAGTTATGTCTTTATGCTGGAAGTTCCCAGACACTGATATACAGAATGCTTTGCAGCTCCCTGCACATGTTATGTGTTTCCTGGTGCCTTACTATACAAAGGCGATGCATCTCCACCTCCTTGGGGGCCATGCCCAGATACTGTGCCATGGTACAGCTCTGAAGATGGAGTCATGCCAGGGTGCAGGATGTTCATAGGTACAGTGCTGGCTTTGTAATGATCTCCCAATGATGAGGGACCAAAACAACAGTCCTTATTTAAAAAAAAATGTCACCTTCTTGTTCATTGCAGCTGTTGCCTGTGTGTGGTCAGTGGTATTTTCAAGCTCACTTGCTAGAGTAATGCTTTATTACTGTGTACTCCTCTTAGCCCTGCTAAGCAACGCTGAGCTGCAGCCTCTGTTCTTGTCAGTGATTAGAAGGATTATTTGCTGAGCTGAGATCAGTGACATCAATTGAAATGCCTGTGAAAGGATGCTAGGGGCCAGGCCAAATATGTGTTGGGGAGGGCACATTTGACTGGCAAACCTTCTGGGAAGTGCTGATCCATGAAGATAAAAGGCCTAGCAGGAGTCTTTTCACACCCTGTATAAATTTGCAAGTTGGGGATTTAAAGGCAGGCTGAAAGGAGGAACGTCTTCATAATGATGTTCAGTAGCTCAGATGATCTGCAAAGAATGGAAGGATGATATCTCCTAGTTTTCCTTAACTTATCCAGCCCGTTTCCTTTATCTGGTAAATGCAATTTTGCTACAGGTGGTTGAATTGCAGTAAGCATGGAACAACATGCAGGTATTTATAGATGCTTGTTGGTGTATAGTGGTACTCGGACAGTGCTATGTTCAGACATCTTATTATGGTACCCAAGTTATTGAGGAGTCTAGCAGTACTTCTGACCCAGGAGAATGAAGAGCATTGGCAGCGTGGAGCTCGGTCACTCTGCAGCTGAAGCAGCATGCAGGTTTCTGTCCTTGTGGTACGTGGCCTGAATGCTGCCCAAAGTCGCTATCAGCTTAATGGTCTAGTTCAACCAACCTGCTTTGGTAGATCCAATTCGATGGTATCCAGTACCAATGGCTTCCGAAGGAGCTGAGTCTTCCCCCACTCCTGCATGTCCTTTCAGCTAAGGACTGGCTCATTCAGGGTATATTGTAGTTGCTGCATGATGGGACTAGAGGCTAATACTTCCAACTGTAGCCTTCTCTCTCTCTCTAGGTAATCTTTGGGGACATATTTTTCTAGTACCAGACAGTTCAGACTCCCTTCAAGCATTAATGAACTATTTCAATAAGGAAAACAACCAGAAGTTTTGTATGCATTTGAAATAAGAGACGGTTACCCTTCATAACGCTTCAATTTTCCTGCCCTGTGATCTGTGCAGTCCTAAACCTGCTCCCTCCTGTGTATCTGCACACCGTAGACAGCTCGGAGCATCCAGCCGTTATAGTTGTGATTTCTTTGTGGCTCCTATAATTTATTCATCCCAAGATGCTCTTCTACATCTGCAATAACATTGTTTCAGTTTGTTATAGTACTAGCTTTAAAGTTTTATAAACCTGGTGACAAGTTGAAAAGTTACAAGAGGATTGTTGTAGAGGGCTAGTGTAAGAAACAAGGCTTC